TTTTGGAGGATATTGATCATTCGTTTTGAAATGGAATTAAACTTCTAATTGCATCCGTTTGTAACTCAACAGTACATTACATTTAAAAAATTTGACCATGACCCCTGACCCGATCACCTTGACCTTTAGTCAGTTGACTCCTTGTTTAATTCTGAGCATCATTGCTTCAAAGTGTCTTACCAAAATGTTCACAAGTGAAAAGATACAAAATTTATACTTGACCTTTGACCCAATGACCTTGACATTTGGTCTGGTTGACTCCTTGTTTAATTTTGATCAACTTTGCTTCATCATGTCATAACAAAATGTTCATCAGTGCAAAGATGCAAAATTTGACCTTGACATTTGAACCTAATGACCTTGACCTTTGACCTTGACTTTTTACCTCAATGTGTATTTTTGTGAACTGAACATCTTGACCAAGTTTCATGTACAACGGTCAATAAATACCAAAGTTATCAAACAGGAACATAATTTGTGGACAGTCGGACGGACAAAGTGATTACTATAGGGCACCCGTATCTCCGATACGGGGCCCTAATTATACCTGAATTAGTAAACACCTGGATAATTCACACTACACTCGTCAGATATACTGTTCAGTCGAATGTGATCTTGAAAGCACCAAAAATTGTTCCAGAAACCAGTTTAATGTTGACTTTAAAACAACTCATCTGGTTGGTAATCAAAACTGGAAATATGAATATTAGAATACTTAATAAACCCTATATAGTTGTAAGTTACTTAATAAACCCTATACAGTTGTAAGTTACTTAATAAACCCTATATAGTTGTAAGTTACTTGATAAACCCTGTATAGTTGTAAGTTATTTAATAAACCTTATATAGTTGTAAGGTACTTAATAAACCCTATATAGTTGTAAGTTACTTAATAAACCCTATATAGTTGTAAATTACTTAATAAATCCTATATAATCGTAAGTTACTTAATAAACCCTGTATAGTTGTAAGTTACTTAATAATCCCTATATAGTTGTAAGTTACTTAATAAACCCTATATAGTTGTAAGTTACTTAATAAACCCTGTATAGTTGCAAGTTACTCAATAAACCCTATATAGTTGTAAGTTACTTAATAAACCTTGTATTGTTGTAAGTTACTCAATAAACCCTGTATAGTTGTAAGTTACTTAATAAACCCTTTATAGTTGTAAGTTACTTAATAAACCTTGTATAGTTGTACGATACTTAATAAACCCTATATAATTGTAAGTTACTTTGACAGTATTGACTTCTAAGTGTCTGCTCATCAACCTATGTCTTTTCATTTTACAAGTGTCTATTTTTGTTTTTAAAAAAATTGAAGACAATGCATTTAGAAATAATTATACCGAGGAGTCACTACTTATAATCCAGTTACCTAGTTAACTAGAACACTGACAGGTCAGTAAGGGCCCCGTCTTGTGGCAATTATATCCGTCATAATCATCGAGAAGCAATCTGCCCATATAGCTGAACTTGACGTTTGACATTTGGACTTCAAAAAGAATCGCAAGGAAGCAAAATATACATTTTACATGTACTATGATGTGATGTGTTTCCTTCCACCTCCATATTTGCTGGGCTAACAGAAATGTAATTACCGGTGCAATACTCATTTGTTAGCTTTGATTTGTTTTATTTCACCTTATATACCTTCTCCATCAAGAGCCAGGGTCAAAGTCAGAGATCCATTTTGGCTTTGACCTTTGGACCCAAATGACCTTGACCATTAAGCCAGTGACCCTGATCTTTGGTCAGTTGACTTATTCTTTAATTCCGACCAACTTTGCTTCTTAATATCATAACATCAGTGAAAAATACAAAACTTGACCTTGACCCTTTGGACCCAGTAACCTGGAACTAAGGTCAGTTGACTCTGTGTTAAGTTCTGAACAACATTGCTTCATAATGTCATAACAAAATGTTCATCAGGGAAAAGGTACAAAATTTTAACCTTGACCTTTGACCAAGTGACCTTGACATTTGGTCAATTGACTCCTTGTTTAATTCTGAGCAACATTGCTTCAACGTGTCATAGCGAAATGTTCACCAGTGAAAAGATACAAAATTTAACCTTGACCTTTGACCCAATGACATTTACCTTTGGTCAGTTGACTCGTTGTTTAATTCTGATCAACGTTGCTTCATCATGTCATAACAAAATATTCATCATTGAAAAGATGCAAAATTTGACCTTGACCTTTGAACCTAATGACCTTGACCTTTTACCTTGACTTTTTACCTCAATGTGTATTTTTATGAACTGAACATCTTGACCAAGTTTCATGTACATCGGTCAATAAATACCAAAGTTATCAACCAGGAACAAAAGTTTTTGACGGACAGACAGACAGACAGACAGACAGACAGAGTGATTACTATAGGGCACCCGTATCTCCGATACGGGGCCCTAATTATAGACTGTCTACACAATCCTTATAAGTGAATCTCATTAGTGGGAATTGTTCATATTAGAGATACTTTGAATTATAAGTAATAAAAAGAGAGTAACTAAAGAATTTAAAACATTTTTTCATGTTTTCACATATTGGGTTGATAGGATTTGTCCTATCATGAGCAACCAAATTCGTGAAAAGTGAGAGAAAAATAAATCTAAATTGTTTTTTGCTAATTAGTGGATTTAATAAGGCGACTCCCTCATCATCAGTTTTGCTACTACAGACAACCCCTTCGACCTTACAAACACCTCTGACAGGACATTCTCCAAGCTTGTTCTACCAGATCTACAGTATCCACGACCCGATTAACAGGCAAAAGCCCTTTTTATTTACTCCCTACTACCAGACAAGACCCTTCAGCTGTACACTACTAAATACAATCATTGACGGGCCTCATCCTTCCTCTACACCCTAAAGCACAGTTTTTGTCGACTTCGAAACTGTAGCCCACAACGCCTTGCAACAAGTGTTCTCCGGAAGGACCATGCAGGCATGTTTTATTCCACTTCACGCAATGTATATGCAAGAAGAATTGCCAGATCAAACCAAACAAGTTTACAAAGAGAACGATGAAAAACTTGTGCGCGTGACTGCAGTTTTACCCCTGGTATTGCTGGAGAGCTTGGAGGATGTGTGGGTTCAATGCATTTGAGAAACTAGATGTTACTAACCTACCCGTAGACATCTTTCCCCCACAGACTTCGTCGTACCGCAGTGGATCAGTTGCAGGTAAGACAGTCGTATCTGGAACAACTACAACACACAAGGATACCGCACCAACAACCGTCTGGAAGCCTGGCACGAGAGGCTCAAAAAGATTGTCCAGCATTAACACCCAAACATCTACGCCATCATTAGAGTATTCTATGAGGTTTAATCAGTCATAAAAGTCAGCAGGATACAACGTGACACATGAGGGGCTATCAGACCACATGAGAAACAATACAGCCGAATGACAAAGCTGAAGGAACGCCTTCAGACCCAAACAAGGGAGTCTATGGAGTACGCTAATGTAGCTTCATGCCTCTTGCATTTGCAACATATTTTACAAAGAATGTGCTGTACTTCATTGTTGGGCAGATATTAATGTGATAAAACAACATTTGTAAATTTGACTGTGCTGAATACGAATGCATTGCATTTGAGATTTTGTATTTGAAATGCAATGTTAGTGTATAAATATTGATAGATTTGACTATTCGTAATTAAAAATACTGTATTGTATCATGTATTTGCATGTTGTGATTAGTAAATGTAATGTACATACAACGTATTGCTAGGTTTGACTTCGAAGCATGAAGTACTGATTTTTTCAGTCTTCTTTTAAAAGGTAATGTAAATATTAATGTAGATTGTAGAATGAGGACAATACTGGTTTTAATGGCATCAAACTCATTAATTGTTGGTTAATTCGACTTTCATGAAATTTTGTGCTACCAAAGAGTTGTGATTATCAGTACGGACAGGCTCAACAAAAATCAGATTTCAGCCACATCCTCATTAGTTTTAATGAGGTGTAAAAGTTGGTTTTCAAATGTCATCAGGAACAGTTTTAGTAGAATCTCCTACGATGGAAAGAGAAAGCGAATACAGTATACACGATTCTTACATGGTGGACACCCAACGATTTCTCCAGATTCCGTAAGGTTTTCAAATGCAACATTGTATTCGACTGGACTATTGTAATATATAATATTATATATGCTATTGGGTGTTAATGCTGGACAATGTCCATTACTACGCTGACGTGTCTCCTTTGAGTGATTAACAAAGATATTACATAAGTAGGACTTCATCCTGAACTTGACAAGTTTCCTTCACTAATCTACACGGTCATCACATTCAGACAGGGCAGCCTTATGTAACGTTCCTTTCGTTGTCTACGGTATGAGATATAATGTGTAGGATTATTGGCTGGATGATAAATCTTCTCTAAAATACGAACACTCATAGACAGAATAAAACGGTCGATAGGCTAAAATATTTATGTAAACATAGATCCTTTCCACGATTCACTGACGAACGATGACCATTCATTCGGTGTCGTAATCGTCTATTTGTTTCACCAGCATTTTATATCAAACCACAATCAATACTATACACGACAGTTGAGATATTGGTGGTACAAAACTCCTTGTACATTTTTTAAATAGTGAGGGAACTGCCTTTTCGGGTTGTGAGGATGCATTCTAGCGAATTTGGTTGGCATCTAACAAATGAAACTAGTTAACGAGGTATACGCTCGTGTCTTTCGGAAGAGATAAAGGAAAAGTTTTTTTTTAACTTTTTTCTAATATATTTTGCATAATTATTTATCGATTCATTTATTTCATAATTTGCTAAGGTAAAGCAGTACTATTTGCCCTCTTCCTGTGATAAAAATGTTTCACGCACCATAAGAAATGTTTGTCGAACTGATTTTTTTAACCAGGGATGTTGCTTATTCCTTGTTTCCTTGTATTGTCACATAGTGAAGGAATGCAATAGGCCTAGAAGATCTATTGAAAATCTGTGTACAAAAAACAATAAACTATATTTATTTGTTTCAAAATGTTTATAATTTTCTTCGTAGTTGACAAGCCTTAAAGAGTAGTTGAGTAAGCCAGTAAACAGTACAGTGGGTCAAAGAATGTTAATATGTCAAACATATACTATGTACCATATTTATCCGGCAATAAGCCTGTGTCTGGTAATTAGTCCATCCACATCCATATCTACTGTATTTTTGTAATTTGTTTGTTTGGGGTTTAACGTCCTAGAATGACAACAATAGTTATTTCATCGTCCTGTAATAAGCCCAATCCCCCCTACTACCTTGTGTAAGCCAAATGGGTTTATTGCAGGATAAATTTGGTATTCAACTTAGTTTTTGAAATTAACATTAATCATTTGTCAAAATCATTATGTTTTAAAGTATGGTAAAGGTTGAATAATCTACAGTATCTTACAAATCTTATACAACTGTTTGCTGAAATCATCAGATATTTTTTGCCATGAAAATTTGAGTATTTTGTTAAAAAGAAATTCCAATATTTACCATGCTTTCTATATTACAAGTTCAAAGTTAACTTCATATCATTTTATATAATATAGTTCTTTCAGAAAGGAAATTCAACAATTCCAGAAATTCTAATAATCATGTAAAATATTTAAAAACCTACAACTGCCATATCAAAAATTACAGCCAGAATTGTTCTCCAACATACACATTTTTTTCTGACCTTGTCCCAAAAAACGGAAATGAATAAAGAGACACAAAACCTGTAGAAAACATGTAGGTGCATGCAAAAAAAAATAGCTTTATATGCTTAGACATTGAAACAGATCAACATCAAATATAATTGCGACAAAGATTTGTGAAGAAAATATAAAATCTTCTTTTGATCGGACGGAGGGTATTTTAAAAAAAAGTTGTCAATATATTAAAAATATTTTTTTATTGGCAAACATCAATGCCATACTATGAAATTCAATAATACCTCTATATCTGTCATATAATGAGCTAATTCTGAAAATACTGAATATAAATAAAATTACATTTCATGAAGAGATTCTACTCTGTGTATGATAATATTCTCTACATACTCTAATACTAAAATATTCTCTTGACAAGCTTCCATATTGCAATAAAAACTACAGTTAGATTATAATGCATATCTATTTTATCTTATATATTCCAGCTGACGAAACCTCAATCATATTACCAATTTTCTTTTCAATTTTTTGTACTGATTTTCAGATATATGTTGATTCCTCTGTAACAATTATAAATTATTATTTTTGCAATGCTAACATGAAAGAGAATTGGAAAATATATTAAAAATCACAAGTGTAATACATATTGCAAGAAAATGACAATGAACTGTTATTCTAAAATAACTGGAAACCCATCGTATCTCCCTTTAACAAAATATTCTTGAATAAACAATAAAGCTTACAACAAAATGGACGGTACATTAATTGTATAACACACACATACACCCTGTTTCTACTAAAATACTTCAAATGATTCGTTGACTTGAAAACTGGGACAAAGCTAAACAAACAACAGAAGAAGTTACAAAGTATTTATCACATAAATTTAAAATAACAATGATAAAATAATCAACAATGAAAATTAGACTTGTTTCTGCCATGTCTAAGTGGGTTCTTTGTCTATAGAAATTCTTGTGAAATTCTCACTGTCATCTTCAATTGATCGACCATTTCCCTTAAAGCAAGGTTAAGTACTAGCGTTTTTGAAAGGGAAGGCACAGTCAATCCCAAAGATCATTAACCCTGTATTGTTCTTGGAAAAAAAAGTCTAACATCATTTCAACAGATCATAACTGTCAAGTGTTTCTATGACTTAGATGAATAAACAGGGACAAACATAAAATTGTCTGAAAAAAAGGAACTTGCCCATACAAACGTGGGCTATTATTTGACAGCTCTCTTTGTACTTGCACATCCACCGGTAATTTTCCATGTCAATTAATATGTATACATGTACGTATAGAAGTCTTAGATTGTGATCTACGTTATTTTTAATGAATTACATTTTATTCTGTAGATTGACTTAATGAATTCTATTTTGTTACATGTTTCTAATTCCATTTTCTTCTGGCCATGGTATTTCTGACGTTAAATAGACAATCTACTTTTCACGAAACGTGCAATTTGGTGTACAGGGATATAAGATTTAAAAAAAAATTTAAGCACGAAGTGACTAGTACTACAATGCAATTAGACAAACACCTTAAATATTATTATAACATAAAAAAAAAGAAAAGTTAAAATATGTAAAACTAATTAAATATGTAGATCCCATTTTTGTTCCAATAATTGCAAAAAAATATCCTATAAATCAAAGCGAAATGAAAAAAAATGCAAGTTTATTTGAAGGAAATTTGGTATTTTTTACCATTTACCTCCAAAACATTTAAAATCATAACTAAAGATGAAAAAAATAGATATTCAATATATTGCAACAGCCAAATAATTCAGGACGGACAAACGATTTAAAGATACAATAAAACACAACTAGTAATTACACTGATAATATTGTTGGCAGGATCTGCACAAAAATAAACCCTCATTATACACGTCGGTTATAAAATAGCATGAAATAGCAAAATATGGATTTATGTTTATATGAAATATATATCATAATAATGACTCTGTTCATTCTTTACACGTTACTCCCCTGTCAGCAGTACCACAAGTGTCAAACAGTCTGAATCACAACTCTATACTCTAGACATAATATTATAAATATCACATCTGTCTTATACTGTCCATATACTTTCAGACACACCACGACTGAGAGACAAATAACCGCATCATATCATCAAAACGATGACATATGCCTTGGGCTTCCCCCTCAGGAGTTATAACCCCATCGGGTATATAAACCTTGATATCAGCCTACCACCAGGTCCATAACTGTATATTATTACAGTTCTTCGGCTTCCTTATTGTAAGAAATGTAAATGGGGCGAGATAGGTAGAGCCCTGGGATTATTTTAGAATTACCTGTACTATGTGGGGTTTGAGATTAACCCTTTCACCCCTAGGTAACTTTAATAGACTCTACCATATGTGTATTTGGATGATTCCATTTTGGTCTGCAGTGGTTAAAATGGCTAAGTAGTATTTTCCTGTAAGATCCAATTTTAGCTTGATAAAACCTTGCGACTTAGTGCAACGGCACCAATCATACATCCTTTTCTTATGTCTAATACACTCTACAGAGATATTATATTTCTATCAATTCCGCATATCCTTTTGAAAATGATGTTACGCCTAGAGACATTTATTAGAAAACTCACTGGAATTGAAGAATTATTTGGTTCCAGGGCGTATTGTCTACAAACATCCCTCAGGTGTTGAAATAATAACAATTTTTCATTGTTATAAAGTAATGAAAGTTACTAAAAGGTTCTCTTCACTGTAAGTGTAAGAAAACACATCTGTAAGTTTTCAGACTCATACATCTCACTATCCTTCACGACACCAACAGCCAGCTATTCAGACTCATACATCTCACTATCCTTCACGACACCAACAGCCAGCTATTCGTATCAAATACCAGAACATATTTAATGATATTGATTAGGAAAATGATAAAGAACAGTTATCACGTTTAAGACACATTTTAAAGTTTGATTTATGAACAAGTGAGCAAATAAGAGTTATTTTATGCATTAACATTTATGTAAGCAATGCATCAACATGCCAACATCTAGAACAGTACGAATAAGGGGTATAACGTTGATGAAAATACATACAAATGACAACAAAACATGTTTTTTGCACTGCTTAACAGGGGGGGAAATGTATATTCATTTTTTTTCAAACCAATGTTTCGACATCTCCTTTAATATTGCAAACTGAAAATTATCAATTACCTGGTACTTTAAACTTGATATCATGTTTATTTTTAATATCACTTACTCAATTTGATTACCACTAGATCCTAATTTTTCTACATATTTGTGTGTATACACAATATCATAGGGTCTCGTTTGAATCAGACTGTAACTTCCGATGTGTGGGCTGGCATCTCTAAAGACATAAATGTGAATATCAAGTTACTGTTAAATCACTTATCTTCATGGGGTTTGTAATTCCGTTTATTTCATAGGTCCACTTTTGTTTGTTTGTTTGTGTTTTACATATTATTAATTGGCTATGGTCATTTAAGGACGTGCCAGGTTTTGGTGGCGGTGGAAAGCCATAGTTCCCGGAGAAAAACCACCGACCTACGGCCAGTAGCTAACGACTGCCCGATAGGTTCACAAAGTAACAAAAAGTTGACATAAATATTTTCTGTTTGAGTGGGTACTCATAATCCACAAATGTATGTGCATACCTACGAAACGGTGTTCTGATGGAAAACCACGAAATAAGGGCCCCATGAAAATATCTGATTTCACAGTACCTAGAAGGCACGGATACATTTCTTACTCCTTGTTGAATTTACCTGTAATTTACACATCTTTTTTTAGAAGTCGTCATCTGATGTCCTATGAGTGGCTGTTCCAAGCTGGTCTTCAGGTTCACTTTCCTCAAACTCGTCCTCGCCGTATGCCCCCTCTGTCTCACCCTCACTCAGTAATTGTGAATGATCGTGCGTCATTGTGTCATCTGTCTCCTCACCCTGTGAGGCCAGAGATTGGGGTTTACGTGATTGCACAATATCCTGATATTGGTCAACATACTGCCCCGGTTTTGGTGATGCAGCCCGCAACCTAGAAGAATGTGAGTTCACAGAGACTCTGTCGACTACTTGTTCCTGAGATGTTGCGGATACCCCACTGCTATGTCTCTGAGACGCTGCCGACACCACACTGCTCGGTTTACTTCGGGACCCTGCCGACAGACGAGATCTGGAAGCATAAGAATGAACTGAAGCTTTGTCCAGTACATCCTCATTGGACAGAACAGACGTGACATCACCTGCCTTACTCCTGCGTCTAGAAGCTCTTGATGATGAATGGACTGACTCGTTATCTGTATCCTTAGAGTTGACTTGTATCAACCTGCCTCTAGGCTGCTGTTGTATATCTTCTGCTTCATGTATTACTGCCTCCTTAGCCTCCTCCAAGTCTGCAACCCCTTCTTCCTCTCCTTCATCTATAGCCACTTTGTGGGTCATTTCAAGTTGGTAGCTTTGAAGAGCCTGCGTGTTGGACATGTCATCCTTATCAAGCTCGGAGTTGATGGTGCTAAACATGTCTCCAGATGTACTTTGCATGCCGTAGGTATTCTGAGAATCCATGGTCGAGTTGAAGGTCCGTTCAAACGGTCTAGAGATCCCAATGCTGTTGTTTCTTCCAGTATATTCTGTGGATTTAAGCCTGGTCTCTGTATAAGAACTCAGGTCGGAGTCTGGCTCATTTGGAATATCCAAGTCTCTCCGGATCTCGTCCAAAACCCCTCTCATTTTATACTGTAAAGATCACAGACAAGTTTGGTATAAAGATTTATTAAGTTTCAACAGGGACAGTATCAATGTAACCATACAGAGAAAAAACAGGTTCTTTACACTGAATGCATTAATGATATTCATCCTCATTAAGGAGGGTGAAAATTGCAAAAGTTAAACTGCAGCGAAACAACCCGGTATGCAGCATTTGTTTATAATATTAACTGTTTCTTCCAGCAAATAATCACATTTTCTCAAAAATTGGGTCTACGATCTTTGTTAAGTGGTCTATAGATTTATGAGGTAGGATATCACCCACATTATGTATACATGTATAAGAATACAATACCTCATCCAGTTGTCCTTTCCGCTTCTCAATATGAGTTTGGAAAACTTGCTTCAATACCCTGGGGATAAGTAAACATGCTGAATAAGATATTATACTGCATCAATACTCAAACAAATCCTTAGCATCACTCATTAACTTTTTTTTATTTTCCAGTGAGAAATAAAACTTCGTGATAAATATTACATTTACCTAGTAAAAGACGAATGCTACCTTATAATTATATCTGTACCTGTGTTTGAATAAGAGTTATCTCCCTTCTATAACTTCCAAAATAAGTCTTATGACCATAACAAATCTTATAGTACGTACAGGCTGATTTATCAGAGTGTGAACTATTTTGAAACAAAAAATATATTTCACATGTAGCATGCATATTCCCTTATAACCTAGAAAGTACAAGGACAGGCTATTGACTGTATATTAAACATCAGTGAAAGGCATTTGCGCTTTTATTTACAGATGTCAAGAAATCTGTTATCCTAGAGAAAACAGGGGTCAGAGTACTGGTCCTTGTGATGTCAGAGGTCAAGGTTCTTGTCCTTTTGATGCAAGAGGTCTAGGTACTTGTCCTAGTAATGACAGTGGTCAATGTACTGGTCTTTGTGATGTCAGAGGTCAATGTACTGGTCTTTGTGATGTCAGAGGTCAAAGTACTGATCCTAATGTTGACAAAGGCCAGGTACTTATCCTAGTGAGGTCAGAGGTCAAAATACTGATCCAAATGATAGCAGAAGCCAAGGTCCTAACGTGTCCTAGTGATGAAAGAGATCAAAGAATCAGTCCTCCTTCTAAAGCAGACAGAGGTCAAGGTACTGATCCTAATGAAGACAGCGGTCAAGTTTTGTTTTGTGAAGGTTCTGACAGAGGTCAAAGTACATTTGGTAGTTACGTTATTAGTTAGTGTTAGGTCACAGCTGATCACAAAGGTCGGGTACTTGTTGCTAGTGACCTTGTGCTACTGGTAGCATGGGTCAGTGCCAAATTGATTTAATGTTCTACATGTGTATTGTGATATATTACATGGTATTTGTAAGTAAGATTATTTGAGATAACTTATCAAAATGTATATATACAAATGCAGTATATGCATATAAGGTCAGGGATGTGGTAGGGGATGTTCTACAAACCACCATGCTACATGCCCAAATATCAGTACTCTGGGCCTTATGGTTATTGAAGATTTTATGCGATTGACCCCTGTGACCTTGAAAGTGGGTCAAGGTCATTCATTTGAACAAACTTGGTAGCTCTTCATCCCAGCATGCTACAGGCCCAATATCAGTACCCTTGGCCTTTTGGTTATTGAGAAGGAGTTGTTTGAAGATTTTAAGACATTTGACCCATGTCACCTTGAAAGTTGGTCAAGGTCGTTTATTTGAACAAACTTGGTAGCCCTACATCCCAGCATGCTACAGGCCCAATATCAGTACCCTTGGCCTTTTGGTTATTGAGAAGGAGTTGTTTGAAGATTTTAAGACATTTGACCCATGTCACCTTGAAAGTTGGTCAAGGTCGTTTATTTGAACAAACTTGGTAGCCCTACATCCCAGCATGCTACAGGCCCAATATCAGTACCCTTGGCCTTTTGGTTATTGAGAAGGAGTTGTTTGAAGATTTTAAGACATTTGACCCATGTCACCTTGAAAGTTGGTCAAGGTCGTTTATTTGAACAAACTTGGTAGCCCTACATCCCAGCATGCTACAGGCCCAATATCAGTACCCTGGGCCTTTTGGTTATTGAGAAGGAGTTGTTTGAAGATTTTAAGACATTTGACCGATGTCACCTTGAAAGTTGGTCAAGGTCGTTTATTTGAATAAACTTGGTAGCCCTACATCCCACCATGCTACAGGTGCAATATCAGTACCCTGGGCCTTTTGATTATTCAGAAGAAGTCGTTTGAACATTTTAAGACATTTGACCCCTGTCACCTTGAAAGTTGGTCATGGTCATTCATCTGAACAAACTTGGTAGCCCTTCATCCCAGCATGCTACAGGCCCAATATCAGTACCCTGGGCCTTTTGGTTATTGAGAAGAAGTTGTTTGAAGATATTAAGACATTTGACCCCTGCGACCTTGAAAGTTGGTCAAGATCATTCATTCGAACAAACTTTGTAGCCCTTTATCCCAGCATGTTACAGGCCCAATATCAGTACCCTGGGCATTTTAGTAATTGAGAAGAAGTCATTTGAAGATTTTAAGACATTTGACCCCTGTCACCTTGAAAATGGGTCAAGGTCATTCATTTGAACAAACTTGGTAGCCCTTTATCCCAGCATACTACAGGCGCAATTTCAGTACCCTGGACCTTTTGGTTATTGAGAAGGAGTTGTTTGAAGATTTTAAGACATTTGACCCCTGTCACCTTGAAAGTTGCTCAAGGTCGTTTATTTGAACAAACTTGGTAGCCCTTTATCCCAGCATACTACAGGCCCAATTTCAGTACCCTGGACCTTTTGTTTATTGAGAAGGAGTTGTTTGAAGATTTTAAGACATTTGACCCCTATCACCTTGAAAGTTATATGGTCAAGGTCTTTATTTGAACAAACTTGGTAGCCCTTCATACCAGCATGCTACATGCCCTATATCAGTACCCTGGGCCTTTTGGTTATTGAGAAGAAGTTGTTTGAAGATTTTGAACTATCTTGAGCTCACCTTCGGGCCAGGTGAGCTAAAAATCACATTCAATACAGACTGCGATCATAAGGTATTTATGTTTTGTAGAATATAATGCTCTTACCTGTTAGTAAACACACCCCTGTTGAGGACATCGTCAGTCACCTCCTTCATAAATTCCACATACTGCAGTTCCTCCTCTCTGTTAATAGGTAAACCAATAATGTTATAGACCTTCCAACACCTTCCTTTACTCATAGCCGTAAACCAATACTGTTACAGACATTCATACACCTTCCTTTACTTATAGCCGTAAACCTATACTGTTATAGACCTTCCCACACCTTCCTTTACTTATAGCTATAAACCTATACTGATATAGACCTTCCAACACCTTCCTTTACTCATAGCCGTAAACCTATACTGATATAGACCTTCCCACACCTTCCTTTACTCATAGCTATAAACCAATACTGTTACAGACATTCCTACACCTTCCTTTACTTATAGCCATTAACCTATACTGTTATAGACCTTCCCACACCTTCCTATAGTCATAGCCGTAAACCCATACTGTTATAGACCTTCCCACATCTTCCTTTACTTATAGCCGTAAACCCATACTGTTATAGACCTTCCCACACCTTCCTATACTCATAGCCGTAAACCCATACTGTTATAGACCTTCCCACACCTTCCTTTACT